ACACAATTCCAACAATAATGATGATAATATAAAAAAGAGCTCTTGTATCGGAATCTGTATCAGTATCCGCGGTTGTGTATGGGAATTGGATCGGAAATGAAAAATGTGGATCGTGGATAGTTTTGAAGAAGAAATGTACTGGTATGGCCTGACGGGGCATATTTGGAGGAATATGAAAGACATTTGTTTGGTGGAGAGGTTTTCTTTTTTAGAGAGAACAAGGTAGATAAAGTCTACACTAAAAGTAGACTACTGAGACCTGCTGCTTTGGCACTGGATGGGCGAGTGATACCGATTTAAAGAAGATTCCGTAAACGAGAGAGAACATGTGACGTTACCTATGAAGAAAATAAAAAAAGTGGATGGATGGATGGATGGATGGATGGATGGATGGATGGATGGATGGATGGATGGACAGATGAATGGACTGATGGATGGGTGGATGGATGGACGGATGGACGGATGGATGGATGGATGGATGGATAAATGGATGATCCAGTCATTCAGAGGCCTGAAGACCCAAACAGAAGACAGGATATTCTGGAGAAACACTAACCATATGGTTGCCAGGAGTCAGCAATGACTTGATGACGCTGCTAATGTTTTCCTTACTATGACAACGTCCGTGTGAACACGGCCCTGTATGAAACCAACCAACAGTAAATCACACAGTGGATGCTGAGTGGGATGTGTTGGCTTGGTGAAAAGGTCACAGCAGATATTTTCTCCTGATTGCTAAGCTTGGCCGAAATGTGTTAGTCATTCCTACAGTAGCAGCAGTAGCGTGAGGAACTCAGAGGGTTGCTGCAGTTGTCAGATACGATCAGCAATTCCACAAAAATATACTGATAATAAATATAGTATGGAATACTAGTTTATCCCAGCCTGACATTTTCTGTCACTCAACTCAAGCACTCAATAACAAAGCAAAGTACTATCATCTATCTCTGTTAGAGCCTAAGAGCGAGTTCAGATCAGATTCGGGTACCAGTAGGGCCGGACTGGACCAGGTCTCAAAGTCACTGGTAAGCGAGAAAAAGAGAGAGGGAGGCCGTGTGTAGTGTATTGGCTTACACGTACTGTGTGTGGTCCGCTTGCATGCAACAGCAACCATAACACTAACAGCTCAATTTCAGACGCAGCACAAATGAGTCAGCCACTTACTGCAGCAAACATCAACACTGTCCAACCTCTGACATTTCCAATCAATCCAAGTTCATTCATATGCTATTCTAAAAGACTAAAAGAGATCATGGGGATACAGGTTTTTATTCAGCAAGCTTGTATGAGCATAATATCACTTAAATATTAGATCACATTTATGGCTAGCGCTTTCAGGGACAGAGGAACGTTATAACATATGCATAAGCATTGGATAACATGTTTATAAAGCCATATTTGAACACTTGATTAGTGGCTTGTGCCACTAACTGCAACATGACATAAGACATTTTTGAAATTGTATTGACATAAAAGATCTTAAACTGAAGTAATAAGCTTTTGTTCCATTTATAACATTCTTATAACACTCTTCTAAAGCATTATTGCTAGGCCATAGAACTTAAAAGGCACAATTACGATTTCTATTAGGGAGACCTGAGTCACTGTATATGTTAACAACTAACTGTTGTTCATGTATGTTTATGTACCTATAATAACTCAAAAGTACTTTTCCTTTAGACACTCTCATTTTGCTTTAGATACTTGAATACTGTAATTTTTGATACTTTGTACTTTTGTTTTCCTTTAGATACTTAAGTACTCTGATTTTTGGTACTTTGTACTTTTTGTACTTTTGTTTTCCTTTAGATATTTAAGTAATTTTTTGATACTTTATACCTTTTGTACTCAAGTAGAAATATAGATATGAGACTTCTTCTTTTACTGGAATACTGCTTTACCAACAGTATTTCTGTCAAGCTGTTTTATAAATATTCAAGTACTGCTTTATAAGTATGTTATTCAATGCTATGCATTTTTCTGAGTTATTGTTATTGAGTCCATATGCAGGTAGCCTTCAAACAGCATTAGTAAATTGTGTGCAACTGAAAGTATATACACATTACACTCTATGTACTCATATTTTCCATTCCCACTGCAATACAATATGTAAATGTCATTACATAATAATGACATAACTATTACATAGTAATGAATTACATTTAAACCTATTTAAATTCTGACAGGTTTCAATCTGCACTTGTGACTTTGTTCCAATGTCAAATGATATGCCAAACAATAAGGGAAGTTTTTCTTTCCACAAGACTGTGGACCAACTTTTCATCAAATTAAAATCATAAAGCAATACTTTCTGTTGTACCTACAAACACAAGTGCTGTGTCTATAGAAAATTCACTAAATATCCCAGTGTGACTCCCCACAATATCAAAACCTCACACTCATCCACCATACCTTCAACACTCCTTTACCACATATCAGCACAAGACCTCAGACACACCTCAAATCCAACCCTGACCTAGAAACCTCTGCATCTGACCAATCCCAGTGCGTGAGGTTTTGGTTAACCCAGCGCCAGAGCAGGCTGCTTTCTGGCTCCTGTTGGGAATGTCCTTCACGGAGTAAGCTCTCTTTAACTCCAAACACCCGCTCTCATGAGGGAAAAAGGGAGGGGGTCTCAAATCTCAACAACAAACAGCGCTGGAATGGAGCTGTCCAAGCAGATGAAGCCAACCATGCACACTCCACATCTGCACCACTCTACCGCAAGCAAAACAAAAGGGAAGAGGGTACAACAGATGAAAGGACGGGCACCCAGCCTTCATTTTTGGTCATCTTGTTTTGTTTCTCTCCCTGTCCTCTACTCTGACCATCTTTGGCCTGGAGATAAAACCCTCCACCAGAAACACTGGGAAAAGTCTGGAAGCATTAATGCAGCCAAAGTCCCATTTGTTCCATTCTATAAATAAATGAACATGGGGGGGTTTTGAGTGTGTCATGTTCAAAAGGCAGGGAAGCATCTTTAATGTCCGATTTTTCGCCTTTTTATAGCAAGAATGTTAGTAGTTAGAGGCTAATGTCCCCCCACTCTGACCCCAGTGATGGTTCTGAGGGGGGGTCAGGGGGCTTAGAATATGTAAAGTGTTTTTAAAAAGCACTAAAACACAATAAAATAGCAGAGAAAGAGGGAAACAAGGGTGCAGTCTCAGCTGCCAGCTGGGTCATCTTTATGGAAATGCATTTAAAAGCATGTACTGTTATCTGTCATTCTAGGAAACCTATAAATTATCAATAAAATCACTGAATTCTGAAAGATTTTGAACCCACTTTCCAGCCTGTATCCTTATAAATGAACAACTAATTTATAATACTGTCTACTGTCCCATGTTCTGCCTAATAAATAACTGTAAAAAAAACAATCATTCGCTTATTATATTTACAATATTGGCCTTCACAATACTGATATTGCAGTAGATTTGTATGCAAATCAGCATCTAAATATGCAAATGAGACTTTGTGTTAAGTTCATCTTGATCAATCAGGGGCGATCCTGAAGTTTGTTTAGGTGTTTGCTTCAAGCCATTAAGGACACTGATACACAACACCTACAAAAGCTTTCAAGACTGATATAAAGATACATAGACATTTCTAAAGGTTTATTCCAACAAGTGTTAATTGTCATAACAAAACTGACAAAAGCCACATTGACACTTGTTGCAGTAAGCGTTTATGAACGTCTATGCAGGTTCATGTCAATGGTCAGGAAAGGCTTATGTAACTATCATGTAGCCTCACTAATCATAAGTAAAGTACTGCAGGAAAATCGCAATGTATAACTGCAATATTGTTTGCCTGTATCACACAGCCCTGAACTGTAATACCCACATCTAGAATACGGAACCCCCTAGCACAGAATCTTACTCATTTTAAACGTAATAATTTGCTTCGGCTAGATTAGTCACCTGCTTAGCCTCGTGAGCGGAGAACTTTGGGAAGAATCTAATTAATTTTGTACAGCTTGAGGGGGAGAAATGGGACTCCAAGCCTCCAAGACAACCTTCTCTCCTGCTGACAGCTGCACCGCATCCTTCCGTAAGCCCTTTAGCTTTGCTCCAAACCCTATTATATGTCTCGTAACCCTCCTCCATCTCAGCTTCCTTCCAGCCCTGCCGTTACCTAGCTCCCTCCTTCCCCCCCTTTCCTCTCTGACTTTATCATCCCCTCCTCCTCAACTCCTGCTTCTTCCATCTGCTCACCAAGCTTCTTCTGCATCTATCGTCTATGATGCCTATACTACCATTCTGGTGTTAATGTATAGACATTTATAAATCTCTTTTCCTCTGATGCCTGCTTTACAGAATTAACATTAAAACCATACACTCTAACGGAAGAAGGAGCCAAAAGAGTTCTTTGAAGTGATGCCATCGAGGAACCACCTTCGATTCCCTAAAGAACCTTGGAATGTATGGCTCAGTCCACTGGCTTGTATTATAAGTGTGTTTTGAGACAACAGCTGTTTGTCCATGGTAATCGACCGTATACTGCAGATGTGGAAGATTGAGATTAGACTAGGAAATGCTTAAAGTAATCACCTACTTAGCCTATGAAAAGTTCCTTCCAAAGAACTATTTTGGTATATTTACTCACTACAGCCTGAGCGATATATCACTTGGCCAACAAAACCTGCCAATATCAAGGTAGATATACTGGTATTAGCTGAAAGCTAAACACACCACTGGGTGCTTAGTCGGAAGCCAACCGTCTCATCAATGAGAAAATAATGTTATGTTTAGCTGTTTCCACAATACAGTAAAATTCTGCTCAATTTTTGAAAATATAAAATCATTTTGGCCAATATCATTGGTTATCAGAATTTATAGCACCTTAAAGTATTGGTATCAGTGACAAAGGTTTCATATTGGTCAGACTCTAAAACTTACATATCTAAATTCTGTCACTGTATGGACCCATTTTTACTTTGCCTTTCACCATCCTGACCTTCATTTGTCCCACAGTTCCATTCTCCAGCTGTGGCTGCCTACCTGCAGTTGAGCCTCTCCAGCTCGAAGTGGGGGTTGAAGTTCAGCACGATGCGCTGGGTGGGCTCTGGGGCTGTAATAACCCACTCACAGTTCTGGTGCGGCGGGTACTCCAAAGGGTAACCAGGTGATGTGATATAACCCGCATCACTGGCGTCCAGGTGGCCACCACATTTTTCACCTGAGAGAGAGGGGGTGGGAACGAGAGAGATGATGTCATTTTCATGCCCTTCACATGTATTCACTTTTCTGGACAAACAAAGAACATATACTGTACCCCTGGGATGGCAATGAATACCAAACAGTTACCTTCGCAAATGTACCATAAAGAAAGCTAACAAAGATGATTAGGCACCACCAAACAGATAGTTAGCTATTGTTTAGCTTAGATAATATAATTATAGCCCTATAATTGAAACAGCTAACAAAACCCTACAATTTAATCACAACACCTACAAAAACAGCCCAAAAGCCCATAAGTATCATTCTAAGCATTCCTTCCAACGTAATTGTTAGAGTCTGCAAACATTTAGTCGTTCTCTGATCATATCGCTCCCTCTCTCAGGAACAATAGCCTGCCAATAGCAAGCCTGCGAAGCTAAGACAGGAAGTGACAGGCAGACTCCCTGTCTGGGGGTTCAAGGGTCACCCCCAAAGCTGTAATGAGATCCAGCATAACAAAGCCTCTTTTCTAGGACCCCACCTTGAACAAACACTAGCGATTTCTTCTCCCTCTCCTCGTTATCTCCCACAAACACGCCTAGCGCTCCCTAACATTAATGCTAGCACAAATAATAACCCTTGAGCTCACAGCCCCCACACATAGCGGGTATCATTCTGGTGATTATTATTCTAAATGGAGCTCGGATTAGGAGCCAGACACTTTTACAAAGGCATTTCTCCATGACAACCATGTGTAGACATTTTTTTACCTCTTTTTTGTGCTAGACTGACTGCTAGCATACCCATTTAGGGCATATTAGCTGCACACGTCGTCTCTTGAGAGAACTCCGTGATGATTTTACATGTAATCACTGCTATTCATTTCAGCAGATGAGAAGGATTTTTTCAGCAGATGGGTTTTTTTTTATCTGTACGTTAAGATAAAGGGTTTGGGATAGCAAAAATTACCGGGAGAAGAAAAGGAAGCAAAGATGCACACATACACAAACACATCACGGTGCACACCTCGGCAGGGGGTCGCGGGGATGCCGGGCTCAGACTATGGGGGAGATTTGATTGACGGTTCTGGGTCTGAAGCAGGTTTCTGCAAATATGTAGGTGCACACCGCTGTCAAGCTAGCGCTGCAAAATGCCTCCTTTCAACAGAGCCAAACAAACCTCACAAACATCTCACTGCTGTTAGAGCAGTTTTGGGGATCAGCTCAGGATGGTGCTATTTGGCGCTGGGGAGCAAATCCGAGATCAATGCCTCTGCAGATCTCTCTCAATTTCACCCTCACGTTCTGTTCCCGAGAATCTCTATTTTCCAACATAACGGAAAATGAGGGGAACTCGAACAAAATTAAAAGGAAAAGGGAAGAATCTTTCGCTTGCAAAGGCATCCTCACAGACGCAGACTTAGAGCTTGTCATGACAACAAAGCCTCCGCCACTGGAAATGCGCCTCCTTTGCTAGCACGCATATCTTCGCAATGAAAGAACACTGGGGTGAAATGTTACAAAAATGGAAATAAAGAAATTTCCCTTTAAAAGGAGCTCTCTCGAGCACCCTGGAACCAAATCAGAGGGTACGTTCAGCAAGTAGGCCTACCGAGTGAGCAAAAAGGTGCGAGACAAGAAGTGCACTATTGCCTGGAGCAATGCTTCTCAAAGGTGCTGATGTGACAGTCACCACGGGCAAAAGCAGGATCAGGGTGTTAGGGACTGATGGTCTTTCAAGTGTTGACATTTCCACGGCTATTATGTCTTTTAAGGAAGGCGCTCTTAGGACTAGGTGGCATTTAATGTAACGACCGCATCCCACCAAAGGCTTTCAGCTGGTGAACGAAAGCCTCTTAACACACACACAAACCTCCCTTCAACACATGTCTACACACTTTCCTTTGCTGTGTCCATCTCTATCCACTGCTACTTGCCTTTCATCCCCAGGAACTAAAACTGTATTAAGGCAATACAAAAGGATAGACGTATCTCTCCATCTTTCCATTCAGTGCTACTGCTGAGGCACTGTCTGCCTCCTTCTGTCTGTTGTCTGCTTCCTGGGCAATGGGAATATCAGAGGAAAAGCCTGAGGATGAAGCCACGAGGGGGAATTTTGCAAGCTGGACACTTTTTTGACTGAGCTACCCTTTCTTGTTCAGAGACAGCGGGGGGGTTGGGGGGGGAGGTCAAGGCAGCCGGAGAACAGCTTTAAGATTCGGACCATTTGCCAGGATGGAGAGAGAATGCAAATGAATGCGGTGTGCTTGTTTTTGTACATTTTCAGGGTAAAAATGTCCTGCCTTTGTCAGAAAAACAGAGGGAACCTGTCTTGTCTGAGTCAAAAAAATTGTTCTGAAAGGCAGAGCTTCAATGTTTCATTTGTGTTTGTGTGCTTTCATACATTTTTAGAACAATAATATCCTAGTTTTGCAGCAAAAACATGGAAAGACATAAGGAAGCAGAGAAAAACGATAGTAAGGTACCAAAAAGGACCAGAGCCTTGTTGTTTTATGAAAGCTCAATGTTTCATTTTTTAAAACTGACCAAGCAAAAGGACTTGTTTCTGATTACTGAGATTAAGGTTCTATCTATCTAGATCTATCTTTCTAGTGTCAGTGGGGCAGTACCCCTCTTGTCACTGGGATGGTTCCCTCCTGGGTACATCTAGGTACCTTTAGGGAACATAACTGTCCTATAATCTATAGAAATTTTATTTTCTAAGCTGTACTGACTCCACACACCCCGTCTCGTTTCCAGGCTTTTTTATTTTATTGTTCTGTTTTAAAACATTCGTTTATAAAAAGGTACAAAGACGTACTTTTCACCTGGGAAAGACTTATTTAAGGTACCCAGTTGGACCTTAAAACAAAGGCTGTACCCTTGAGGGTACATTGTTTGTACCTTGACAAACGAAAAATGTACCTGCCCAGTATAAATATATTTATAAATCTCAAATTGAAAACCCATTTGTTTGTGTTTCTGTGTGCATTGTTGCTTTTGCTAATTTCTATTAACAGAATTATTTTTGCTGAGGCAACAGCATGGTGATAAGTTGCAGCCCTGTAGAGAGGCCATGATAAATCTCCATCATCTACTCTCTCTCTCCCTCTCTTTCTTTCTCTCTCACTCACTCTCTCCCTCTCTCCCCCTACTCTTCCCTCATTCGCACCTTAATTAAAAAGTGCTATCACCCGCGGTGAGGAAATCAGCGCTGATCCATTCATCCTCGCCGAGCTGCGGAGGAGCCCTTCCTGCTCTCTTTCCCTCTCTCCCTCACTCTCTCTCCCCCTGTCTCTCTCTCTCTCTCTCTCACTCTTTCTGGCTTGCTCACTTGCTTGCTTTCATTGCAATTCAAGCACTTGGCACAGAAATGAACAGGAGGACCAGAAAGCTCCAGCTGTTGGAATATGGATGGGGTATTTGGGGCTTCAACAAATGATTAGCTCTCTTTTCCAATTTAATAGTCTAACTGCGATGCCTTCACTTCCTCTCACTTTGAGTTCTTTTTGCTTCTATGGTGCAACAAAATAAAAGAAACAAAGTGATTTCTTTGTTTATGGTGTACCAAAACAGAGGAGGCGATATCGCCCCCTATGCCTCATGTGACGTACTGCAATCTGTCAGACTGACATTATAATATGAATATTATACAGCTTTATAGAGCCCCTAGTTTATAAACCATATCAGCTTTTGGGGTGCAATGAGAAAAGAAACAAAGAGATTTCTTTCTTTTATGGTGTTTATGGTGTATCGCCCCCAATGCCTCATGTGGTGTACTGCAAGCGGTCAGAATTATACGAATATTATAGATCATTACAGAGCTCTTAATTTTTTCAGTAAAACAAGTAAAAGTAAACTGATTGTGTTGACCAATCATTGCAGTCAATTATATTTTGAGAGTGCAGTTCACCTCTCTTCATATTCCCATATTGCAATTGCCCTGCAATACCTCTTAAAACCCATTGGTGAAAACTTGATGTAGCAGGTTTCCAGATTGGCCTGCATTATTTTGGCCATTGTTGGATCATCTGAATGCTTCAATTCATTACAACACCCACAGAAACTCATCTGGACTTATGATTGGTCAGAATGCTTCCAGATGGCTCATTTGCATTTTCCACACTGCATATTCTGCGATATCAATTTCGCAAATACCAAATCCACAACAATAATGAACAAATGCAGCCCTACACCATTTCATCTTTTTCCCGAGACACATGAAAAACAATGAACCCAAGAGCTTCAGTCCAAGGAGCTGGCACAGAATCGTCTGTTTAAAGATCCGAAAACAGTGTCACAGTGCGATTTAATGGTCCTTTTCATCCCTTTCCCTACAGATACCCACATTTCATCTCTCTCTGACAGTGCCTCTGACTTACGCACCACTTTTTCATAAAGACCTTTAAATGATGCGGGGTAGGAGGGGACGTTTGCATTATTTATGGTGCTCTTATTTTTAATCCGGTCCCGATCACAGAGTTCGGGGGGGAATTCGCGGCGCCTGCCACCTCGCCAGGGATCCAGCTGGGTGTTGTTTCGTGGCCCCAAATGCAAATGCCTGACCTTGTTTTCACAGATCTTTTGGCATGGTAGCACTCGACGCTCACAAGAAGGCGCTCGGAAGAGAAGGATCAAAGAGCATATCCGACTATTTCGGTTCCCATTTTGGTGGTAGTGGGGGGCATGAAACGTGTGTGCCTCCATTGGTCTAGAGAGTGCCTTTACAAGTAATCATGTGGACTGTGTTGGAAAGACAACCAATTAAAAAAGGTTTGCACAAATGTGGACTAGGTTTTACTTCTTGCACCTTTTCTGTGCTCCTCCAAAGTTCTTGCCTTCTCCTCTCTCCACTACCTTGGCCAAAAAAAGGGCACTGTGGCTGCCATTGCCATCTGCATCTGTGGCTAATCCCACTATTACTGTAGGTCTAGCACTTTCCCCGGAGTCAGCACCACACCGTGCCTGCCAAGTCATAACCAAATGAGCTTATCACCAAAACATATCAAACAACCAAACAGAGCTGATCTGAAATCTGAGTAACAGGGATGTTGACTGTTCAACAGTGTTTGCACAGACCAACTGAAGCTGTAAACTATGTTTAAAATCCCTGTAGGGAATAAAAGATCAAGGGTCTACAGAGTTGCCAGCTTGGCCACAGTTCTAATGAACATAAGGACTAAAACTGTTGACCGTTAGGGTAAGAGACAGGTGGACGGCAAGACAGATGAGCAGAGGAGACCGGACAACTATGAGGTTAAATTAGAAAAGACTCCAGACACTCCGTCTGGTGCTGTTAACAAGCCATGACAGCTTGATAAGGCGTTTAGGTCATTTTTGTCACATCGGTCATGACCAAAAATGACACTACGGCCTGAAGGCTGGAGTCGCGAGTAAGCACATTTCAGCTGACTGAAGATGTCTGGCGAGTAGTCCGAGGAACGGAAATATCTAATAGTCCACTATAAGCTAGCAAGCAGTCTACTACTCACCCTCTTTCTCTTTCTTTGAACAGATTTAAGACCTAACAGGCCTCAAAAGTCAAACTTTTCCAAGCTTGGACAATAATAATGTCTGAGAAGTTCATTATCAGCTCTAGAAGCTTTCATTCAAGCTAATCAACTGCCTCGCTATATTGGCTGAAGCTCACACTGTCAACATGAGTCACCATTTCAGACACAAAACACACAAAGATATCAGCTCTAAAAGTCCATTTGAGTGTCTGGAATGAGCCGTTTTTCAACTATTCCATATAAAAGAAGAAAAGACAGCTTGATATGAGAGCTTCAGGTGTTAATGTGCACAGTAAGAAGTATTTTTTTTTTTACCTCAGACGCCTGCTGCTAATACATAACCACTTCTAAGAGTATAAATTACACCTACCCTCTTAAAAAAGATGGTTCTTCAAGTTCTTTCGTAAGGATAATTGTTCTATTTAGAGCTATGATGCTTAAATAGTTCTTTGCATGGTGAAATGTTTCTTCAGAACGATAGAGAATGTGTTATTTATGGTTCTATATACAGCCTTTTTAAAATGCTTCTATACAGCACCAAAAAAGGTGCCTTCAAAATGGTTTCATTTCTATAGAACTCATGGATATAAATAGAACCACTGCATTTACTAAAGAACCCTTGAAGAACCACCTTTTTTAAGAGTGTATCTACAAGTCTTTATTTCAGTTTCTGAAGCTCTTTTGCACTATAAAATTAACACTCAACATTTCAGAGTTTCATTACTACATTGCCTGAGGTGATTAATAACAATGTCGTTAATCATGTTATTATGCTAATACTGTTTATTGCCTTTTGAGCAGCTGTTGCCTGCTTTATGGTGCTGCTGAAAATTTTGTGCTGTATTTTTGTCTTGATTTATATGTAGAACCGGGTCTACAATATACTTCGCTGTGCAGTCCTGATGATACTTAATAGTGATTTACTGATGTAAACCTGGTCTGGGAATCCTGAAGCCTTTTCAAACTGCTGTTACATTGCGGTCGCCTAAGCAAAGAGTGGGAGACAAAAGTGAAGTCTCTCTCTCTCTCTCTCTCTCTCTCTCTCACTCGCTCTCTCTCTATCTCTCGCTCTTTCTTTCTCCCTCATTTTCCTATCGAAAGCCTCTTTATTAAAATCAATACTAGCGGAGGACAAGCTGCAGTTTGAGGAAGGTCAATGAATACGTTTTATTATTCAAGCATTTGCTTGAGTGCTTTCCATGAGTGATTACCGCCCTGGCTTTTAGGGCTGAGGGAGTTTTCAACATTTCATTCAACGACGACGTAGACGATGATGATATTAGTGATGAGGATCATCATCATCATTATTATTATTATTATTATTAACCTATACACTTAAAAAAGATGGTTCTTCAATGCTTCTTTAGCAAAGGCAATGGTTCTGTTTAGAACCTTAAGTTTATATATAATACATAACCACTTCTAAGAGTAAATTACACCTACACCTTCTTCAAGCGTTCCTTAGTAAAGATAATGGTTCTATTTAGAACTATGAATCATTTCACACTGAAATGGTTCTTTGCATGGTGAAATTGTTCTTCAGATTGATGGAGAATGTGTTGTATATGGTTCTGTACAGTACCTTTTGAAAATGGTTGTGTCTAGCCCCAAAAAAGTTTTGCTATTGCGAGGATGTCAAGCATATAGCAGTAGCAGAACCATTTTTGGTGCTATACAGAATCTGAAGAACCATTTCACCATGCAAAGAACCATTAGAGCATATAATATTTCTATATAGAACTCGAACCATTGCCTTTACTACAGAATCCTTCTTTTTTAAGCGAGTAAATTAAATCTCAGGTATTTTGATGGCTGCCATTACAAATAGGTATCAATGACTGACGCTACGTTTTCAGTGTAGCCTCTTTAACAAGGGATCTACCACCTTCATGAAAATGAAGATGGATTTTGATGGACACACATTTGAATGGACTTCAACAGGCTGTTTGAGAAAAATGACCAAAAATCTACTTCTGAAAGTCTTCAAACCTGTGTACACTTTATCACTAAACACAAAATAGGAACGCTGAGGATGTTTCTCCAGTATTTTCACCTCAGCTTCACTCCTGAGAAGAAACACAACCAAAACTTTTATTTTCCCACTGCCTCGTGTTGAACGAGAACCTCTATCTGAGGCATTTCTCTCAGAAACATTTTGATTTAGCCAATGAACGAATGTTGTACATGGTTTTAGACCGTTACTCGCTTCAGAGATGAACTTCACGTTGCGCGAGGAGACGCGCTCGCTGGACTACGAAGATTTTGAAGCTTCTCAGGTACAAAACCTTAACAAAAAGATCGTTTTCTGGTAAAAAGTCTCAAAAGATACCGATATTTGGACAAACGGGTCCACGCGCTGTATAAAACGTCAATGTTCGACGCCTCGACGCGACAGCTTGTAGTAATTTTACCTCAGCCAAACATTCCCAACACGCTGAGGTAAATTTTCCAGAGGATGAACGGCTGACAGGAAAGCTGGAGTTTAGAAAGACTGAACTTAAAAGAGAGAGTGAAGAAACCCAGTCTTACCTTCTTGTCCGCTCGCTTTCAGGACGAAACATAAGACGAGAGCGATTTGGTGGAGTGACAGTAACACATCCATGTTTCCACGCCGTCGCCTCAGCGGTGGCTGGTGAGCTGAAACCGGCGTCTTTCTCCAGTGAGGAGAAGGAGAGATGGGGGTTTGTTATCGCACCTTGGCTCTGTCGAGCCTGGCGAAGTGTTCGTGAAGTCAGAAGTTGAGTGTGTCGGTGACCGAAGCCCGTTTATAACGCGCTCAGGCGGCGCCACATGGTTGTTGTCACTCGCGTAGAAACTGAACTAAAGCGTCCTCGGCGTGACCAGCGCTGGTGGCATATCCGTCAACGGTGAAGTGGCAGTCTGAAGTAGTAGGGCTTGAAATCCCCTCAGCTCCGGCTCCTCAACGCAGTTAGGGGGTCCCGAGGTGGTCTCCACACATGCATACACACCCTCTCTGGAGGCTCCTCGTGGAGGTCCAGTGAGTTAAAACACTCCGACTCGTCCTGTTTCCACCAGCATCGCTCTGTTCGTGTGTGTGTGTAAGTGAGTGTGTGTGTGTGTATGTGTGTGTCGCCCGCGTGCGTACGCCGTATCGTCCTCGAGCTGCTGCTTGGGGAGTGCGTGCGCGTGTGTGTGTGCGCGCGAGCGAGTGAGAGAGTTTCGGAGGTGCACGGCTATCGCGTTACACTGAAGCTCTCTCGGCCCGCCTCCTGCTCCTCACGCGCTGATTAGAGAGAGAGAGACAGAGAGAGAGAGAGAGAGAGAGAGAGAGCGCTCATGCACACACTCTCTCTCATGAACTTGGGCACGCGCGTGCGGACCTCGCGCACACACACACATATACACACACACACACACAAACAAAAGTGGGAACACACTTGCACACATAAAACGAGCACGAGCGCACATACACAAGACTCATAGTCGCGCGCGCATCATGCACACGCTCATATAGAGCCGCACGCGCACGCAGACGTATACGAGGGTAATCATTTTGCATGAACTCAACAATAGCACGAGCAATTCTTAGACGTCATATAGTGAAACCTTCCAAACCAAAACAACCGGATGAAACGTGATGAGCGGGCCGTTTAGCCTCGTGCCGAGTGTTTCCTCTGGACAGCGGTTGGGAGCGGTTGTTCCTCTGTTTAACCCGCAGGGGGAACAGAGGGAACAGCAGCGCGCGCAGCGAGGCTGCGGGGAACATCTGCTGAAGTCTGCAAAAGCTATCAGATGTTCAGGGTTGCCCTGTTGTCCTGGAACGCGCTCCAGCCCCACGCGCATCCGCGGACCTGCTCAGGCGGACAAACACAAGACTCTCTTACCGTGTTCGGCTGGAAGCTGCAGGTGTTAATGCTGAACACAGTAAGCGTTATTTCAGTATGGTAGATGTCAACACTGTAGGTGTTCATTCAACCCTGCAGGTGTTCAGGCAATATTTCAGGCAATATTACACTGTGTTACATGGTTACCGTACAGCATTCGTTCAAACACTTTTTTCCATAGAAAATGAATAGCAGAAACTTGGGAAAATTCAAGTTTAGCTGTCACAAAAAGGACATCTCTCACACGGACTCTCCTAGACATTACATACTTTCATATATATATATATATATATATATATATATATATATATATATATATATATATGTACACATATTAGCAACCACCTGGGATACCATAGCCTAGCCAATGGCCTAGCAACACCTTAATAAGCCCCTCAATACCATAGCAAAGGCCTAGCAACATCTTAGGTGGTTCACCTGTTGTAACATAGCAAAACCTTAGCAACCACCTGGAATTTCATATAGCAAACCAGATACTACATGTTAATTCAACACTGTAGATGTTCAGTTGGCTATGAAATATTGTATGTGTTCACTTAACCCAAATTAAGTTGCCATAAAGCAGTGGTCAGCCATCCTGGTCCTGGAGATCTACCATCCTGCAGAGTCTAGTACCATCCACAATCTACCGAATCTAATCCAAGCAATGAACTTCTTCAGAAGCCCTTGAATGGCTGGATCAGATGCATTAGTGTTGGGTTAGAAGGGCCAACACATTACATGCAAGTTGAAACTAAACTCTGCAGTAGATCTCCAGGAGGAGAGTTGGTAGCCACTGCCATAAATGGTTCTTTGGAGCAATGTCATAGAAGAATCACTTTTGGTTCCCTCATGAACTTTTCAGCACAAGCGTGAAGAACCTCCTTAAAGTTTTCTCATAATGTAAATTATTGGTATTAAATATACCAATTAAAAGTGTGTGTTATAACTTTAAACACAAGGCTAGAACCATTTAGATACCTTTACTTATAAAAGAATAAAGGTTATTTAACACAGCGTAAAGTATTCTTGCGGCTGTTCATTTCTAGCAAATACCCACAGTTTTAAAACGAAAGAGATTTAAATTCCCAAGTGAGGGCAAAAGCAAAGAAAGTCCAAGGTAGATTTCTCAAGTCAGTTCACCAGCCACATAAAAAGCCAGAGTCAGGCCAGAAATGTCCTATGTTCCAGAGGCCAGACCACAGAAGAGAACCCACCCAAGCCCAGCCCAGAAGCTGCTCTTCAATATACTGCACTAAACACAGGCACAGATGGCTTTTTTAATAACACAGTGGCACTGTGGCGCACTGAAAATACTTCGCTGAGGACTGTTTTGGGGCAAGCCTCACATGAGAGGGCTTTACAGTAGGCAAAAGGCAACTTTTCATTACACGCTTACAGAAATCCAGGCTCGTTCTCAACATTCAGCTCATGCCTGTGGATCTGAACAGTTAGTTTCACTGAAAATTCCACATTTTCAGTAGATCTAGAGTATTATGCCTCAGCATCTGATGATTATGCTGAAGATACAGTCCTAGTCAAAAGTTCGGATGCACCTAAATGAACGAGTGTTGTTATAATCTTAGCAGACGTGGCAAAAAGTCACTAAGTTGTCCCAAGTCCAAACAGTCAAGACCCGATACGAGTTCCAAGTCAAGACAGGCAAGTCCTAAACTTTGAGTCCTGAAGTCAATTTGCATTCTTCAGCAAATTTAATGATATTTCAACAGTGAAAACCAAAAATGATGGTAACCTTTTCATGACAGCATGTTAGTCATGTATGGTTGGTGTAGCTTTGGAGTTTTATGTTTTTATTACCCTTCCAAGTAAATTACAAAAGCCTTTTTGGGAGCACTGTGAACATGGGGATGAAATAAGAACTGTGCACTAAAATTAGCTCAGCAAATTAAAAATATGTATCTTTGGGTCATTTGATTTTCATTTCAAAATCAGTATTGAAATATTTGAAAATGGGATGGAATCCCACCATTTAGTGGGCGGCTTCTTGTTTGCCAGATCAGCTGCTGATGCACTTACTTCAAGTTTAGAAGTATTTTGTTGTGTTGTGTAGAATTCCAACCCTCCCTGTAAAAAGGTCCAAACCAGGAGGCATTTCATGCTGGGCTATGCTGGTTTATGCTGGTCTGATTCTGGTTTAGCTAGTCACCATATACAAACATACGCTGGTTTTGCTTTTGAGCATATCAGCTTCTATTGCTGCTGACCAGCATACCAGCATCCAAGAGACAACATATGCCGCTGATAATGAGCCATGCTGGTTTTTCTAGCAGGGGACTCCCCTTTGCATGCACACACATCATGCAGGCATATGGACACTACAGATTACACTAGCAATTTTGGTTGTTTCTGTGTGTAAATAACGGCTAATCCTTACTCTTCCTTCACAGCAAACAACACAACAGAACCTAAAGCCAAACACAGTAGTCTCATAGCAATGCTTAGTTTAACACCAGAACTGGACCTAAAGTAGCACTTGGGGGATTGAATGCCTTTCATAATAATCAGTATTGTAGCATCTTGTAGAAGGAGACCCAAGAGAGGCCATGATTCTGCTACAAGAAGTGCTCTTTTTGTTTACACAAGCAGAAAAGGCACATACAGAGCAGCCCATTAGCAAGCAAGGTCACTTCAACCTGCAACTCTACTCCATGGATGACCCACACTAACTTAACCCACAGCTCACAGGTTTACTTCTCAAGTTTGGAGCAATAACACACTTGCTACAACCAGGTTCACCTCTGACGATGTAACATTGCAGTGTTCATTTTTTCCCTCATTACTGGGCAAAATGACTGTCATTTCTCTTTTATTTTGCTCCCAAAATATCAGAACTAGGCCTATCTTCTCAATACTCATGGCCAATCTCTCCTGTGTTTATAATTTTTAACCATGACTGCCTGATTTCTGAGCCTCTGCAAGCAGAGGTACACTCAACTCTATGTGACGCTTTCCATTGTTGTTAGTTTGTCATCTGATTTTAGGTTTAATTTGTGAAACTGGAAAACAAAGCTATTTCTTGACTTTTCCACTGACAATAACAGATCCAAAAATGAGAATCTACCCATTTTCCTGTTTTCAATACCGTTTTTGAAATGAAAATTGACCAAATCATTGTCTGGATGCGTGGACCGAAAAACAACTGCTAATTTGATTTTGTTGCATCGAGTCTCATCATCGAATTCGTGACTCAAGTCTGACTTGAGTCATAGGTTTATGTTTAAATGTATATTTCGTAGTTTTGATGTCTTCAATGTTATTCAACAAGGACACTGTGTCATTGATGTGAAGCACCAAAAGCTATTTTAGTGCTAACAGCACCCCCTTGTGGAGAACCTTAAGCGTACTAACTGTGAGTGAGTGAGTTACAAGCCAGGTCCATGAGGTGCTTTACATCTAAGAATGTGGAAAATAATGAAATAAGGAGAATACTTCTATGGGACAAATTTTGAAATAGACTGAAGTAAACAAGATGAGAATTTGGTGAATTTGTATGATAAGACTTTCTTTTACAGTCCCCTAAGTTCTAGATATTAACCAAGTAAATGTAAGTTACAAACTCCAAAGTACTAGATCATTATTTTGGGTAAGTTGGTGGTCCAATGACACTAACTTACTTAAGCCAAACAGGTTCTAGATAATAACTGATTACTTGTGGGGTACAATCTCTAAAGTGTTGTGTAATTACTTTGCTAAAATGATGATGGTTACCAAGACTAACTAAATTACACTGAAATTACTTAACAGGTTCTGACTATTAAGCTGAGAAATGAAAAAATATCTCAAATATTTACAAGGTGGTATATCGACAAGGTAGTAAGTACAAACATACACTAAATTTCTATGTAATGTTACACATTTAAGCAGGAAAGTATATCAGAAACATCCTCACATGCTGGGTAAGTTGGTGTAAAATGATGATTTTGATTGTAAAAGTATTGTAGTTTATTCAAGTACAATTTTTATGTCATATTACCGGTCAGCACTTTTTACAGTATTGTAGATTTCGTCCCATATACTTAACCAGTGAATATCTAGAAACCCTAATGGCCATTTCAGTGTAATTTAGCCAGACTGCCTTGAAACTTACCATCATGCAACCCAAAGTAATTACCTAGAATTTTGGAGTTACCCACACTTACCTGGTTAATTTCTAGAACTTAAGGGACTATAAAAGAAAGTGCCATTAAACCATGAAAATGCACCTAATTCACATTCTGTTTGTAACTACAGGACTGTCAGTTAAACAAAGGTTTATATAAATTCAGTCAACTCAAATAATTCCAATCAGGCAAATATTAATATG